GACAGCGCCAGCCCTGAAGATGGCCACCCCCACGGCACGCCAGGGGCGGGCAACCCCGCCGGGAGCAGCGACCGAGCACCGGCACAGCACAGACCTCTGCACCTCTGCCCAGCTCCTCCCGAAACATCTGGCACCTCTGCCTAAGTCCGCACCAAGCAGGTGGGAAAGCGTGCTGGCCCTGCGGCCAGGCACCCCCGCTGTGCCACCGAGGTGTCCCCAAGCCAGGGGACGGATGCCAGGGAGGCAGGAGGGGAGCCGCGGAGGAGTGCGAGGCGCAGGCACACGTGAGGGTGAGGCTGCATCTAACCGGAGATACCAACGTGCTGGTTTAATAAGCGCTAATTAGCATATTTATAACATTCTGTTCCCGGGAACAGTTTCTGTCACACATTCCCTTATATAAGCCATGATGCCGACTGAAGAGCTTGCTAATGTTTCTCAAATTAAAAGAAAGGGTGGGGGGAGATACAACTACAGAGTTTCCAGATGCCAGGCGCAGACTTTAAAAGGGATTAGGCGCTGGGAGGGAGAGAAAAGGGGGAAAAAGCGACATGGAGATTGGGATATCGATGTGTTCCTGAGAGCAGCGCAGGCACAACACCCAAAAGCGACACGGAGACTAAGCTTTTCTGCTCCCCCAGGCTGCCAACCCACGGCAAAGGTGTAAAACAGAGTTAACGGCTGCCTTCCCCCGGCAGCATCGCTGGCAGGGGAACCGCAGGCTGATGCTCCGGGGGCTGGGACCATCAGGACCTCTCCGTTCTCCTCCTGTTCAGTGGATCTCTAAGCTCTGCACCTCCACAAAGGGAGCGAACACCCGTCTAGAGGGGCTGTACCCTGTGGGTTGGTCCCCTGTGAGCATCAAAGCCCTGGCATTCCCTCCTCGCCTCCCCTGCCTGCCCAGGAGATCTGGCTGAAAGCAGAGCAATATTCCCTGCAATGAAGGCAATTCACTACTCAAGAGCGGTGTCGGGTCATCCGTCACACCAGCAAACACTGCGCTGGGGCACAGCAAACGCAGCCCACCTTCCCGCCTGCTCCGGGCTGTGAAGCCTGAGCAGCTGCCGAGGAGCGGCATTTCAAATGGAAATGATGACAAAGTTGGCAAGAGCCCAAGAAAAATGAAGGCTCCAAGTCACATAATTACTAGAAGAATTAAATTCTGTTACTGCTCATAACTGGTCTGGAAAGTTAATTAAAATGTTCACACGTATTTGTAATTATTAGAGGAACAAAATGACCAAATAAAAAAGATCTTTAAAGACGCAGTACACGCCCGGCTTCCCCGAAAAGGTGTGTGATCTGTGACCAGACAGCTCAGGTCGCCGTCGCTGTGACACGCCACTCGCACAGAGCCAACAAACCAGGTTCCCATCACCGTGGGAGCAGCGCGAGGCCAGTCCCCGCTGGAATAGCCTCTCGGCCGCGGCTCCGAGGCGCGAGCCGCACGTGCGCTGAAGGCAGAAGGCGCATGCTGTACCCCACCTTCCCAAAGCTGCCTTTTCCCAGCACCATCAGGAAATTGAAATCCGAAAGCTTCATCCGATCTCTGCTCCCATTGTTGTCGAATTTAGAAATGGCATTTGTCGTCTTCTCATCCGCAGCCTTGGAGCCTGTTCCAATCTTGGCTCTCTGCAAAGATGGAGAGGGGACAGGGAGAAAAGAGAAAAAAATACTGAGAACCGTGGAGAAAGGCCATCATAAAGCCAGCGGGTGCTCCTGAAATCCCACCTTAACCAGCTTTTTTCCAGGCCAAGCGCTACCCTGAGCTACGGGAACCTTCCCCGTAGGCCTGACAGGGACAGCACCAAGAAGGGCACTGGAGAAGCTCTCAGCCCCAACGTCTTGCATCATTCAGCTCGTTCCCAGTTGATCTCTGTGAGTGCAAGTGGGAATCGCATCTGCCTGTTGCCCGTTGTCCCTCTCCCCATGGTCAGCGTGCCCGGGGAGCTTCCCCTGACACGCTCCGGGTCATCCCAAGTATTAAACAGAGGCTTAAACAAGCTTTTTTCTCTCAAAGCTGGCTTCTGTCTCCCACCTCAGCAGGCAAGCACAGGTGAATCCAAATACATTAAGGTAAAATACAGGAGTGTTTATCCGGTTCCAGCTCCGTTGCTGTCTGACACGGAAGAGAATTGCACTCCCGTGCCAGCTCAGGCTGAACGTAGGAAGCTACAAATCCATTTTGGACAAACCAGAATAGAAAGGGCTCCTCCTGCGTGCCCAAGCCATCGCACGAGCTGCTGCAACCGCTTACTCAGGACCCTCACAAATCTATCCCCACCTCTCCCCCCATTTTGAAACCCAGAATCTCATCAGTGGCTCAGCACCTCCGCATTGGTCCAGGGGCCATCGAATTTGCTGAACCACAGTTTGTAAAAGCTATCTCACAATTTAGTCGGTTTTAATTTTTAGAAATATGCGACAGTGTCAGGCTTGCACTGAGCTCAGTCTAGCATGAAATTCCATTAACCCGATTCCAGCAGTTCAATTTGGCTGCTGCTCACAGCTCCTCCAGATAGGAGTCTCACAAGTAATCTCCACGCCTTTGCTGCTGCTAATTGGTTCTTGCAAGGTTCTCCGTGCTGCAAAATTCCCCATTCAAGGTCACCTGCAGCACCTACAAAGGGCTGAAAATCTCCTGCACGGAAAACTGAAGGAATGTCCTCCAGGATCTGCGAACATCGTACCTGCTAAGGCAGCTCTGCCCCGGGGAGGAGGCTGGAATCATCCAACAGCCACCGGTACCAGCTCATGCCACAAGCTGAGCCACATGTGCGGCACGCCGCTTTCCAACAGGGAAAAAGCGTGTATGCTGAGAAGGGAATAAAGTCACCTCTCCCGAAGTTCAAGGGTTTCTTCCTCACTGTCATCTTCAGGCTTTTGCAACGTCCCCAAAGGAAGGGGATCCCCAGCTGGAGCATCTTACGTCAGTGGAGGTGACAAACAGCAGTGTCCTTGCTGGCTTGACGCTTGCCACGAGGAGCTCGAGGGGACAGGTGGCGGTACGCCAAGGGCACCCCCTGGTTCAGCTGGCGATCTCCAAAACCCAACCCACGCCAACAATACCATCCTCTCCGGCCGGAGGAGTGCCCAGCCTCAGGCATGCAAAGCTTGACCCTTCGCCATCCGTGATGCCTAAGCCTTTCACTCTGGCACCAGCTGAAAGCTGCTCACTTGGCCAAAAAGGGATCCAGATGGGCAAATGAACCGAATGAATTTTGCCAGATGGGCAACATCCCCAGGCAGCCAGCCCTGCGCTCTGCAACTCGGCCTTCAGCAACCCTCACCCCACAGTATGTCAAACCATCTCCAAGAGACACCCGCACTTATCGGCAGGCAAAACAGTCATATTCTGTGAAAGCTTCCTAAACACTCCCTCAGAGCTGAAAAACAATCTTGTCAGATCAGATTTGACACTAAATTAACCTCTGTGAAAACAAGCTGTAATAAAATTCAAGGGCAATATCCTGCTGCCATGAAACGACACCCAAAAGCACACGCCTGCTCCAGACGAGCCCGCGTTCTTCCTCCCGCATGTCTGCAGCCCAGCACCACTGGGCTTGGCCATGGGACCCACCGCAACACTGACCAGAGCCCAGGGAGGCCTTTCAGCCCTGAGCAGAGTGGAAAAGAGCAATACGAGGGGGGAGGAAGGATGAGGATTTTCATGTGCTTCGCCCCAGCAAAGCGGCCCAGCGTTACCAGCAGCACCAGCAGACCCCGGCGAGCACCCAGCACCCAAGTGTGAGAGCAACTTCAGGTCCCTCCTGCTGCTCCCAGCCTGTGTCCAAAGAGGGGCTGCTTCATTCCCGGTCAGCCTGGCACTTGCAGCATCACAGCAGGTTTGCGGGATGTAAGGAGGTAAGCACCGCACGGCTTCCCTGGGCTTGGTGGGTAGTCTGGCCCGGAGGGGGAAAGGTCTTTCCAGAAGAGAGCCCAAAATAAGGGTCAGGGAGATGTAAAGATCGACACCCCGAGTGATGTGTTTTGCTTTGGCTCTCAAGTGTCATCTCTAATGTCTGAGTGCAAACGTCCTTTAACCCATTTTTAATATGCTCCTAATGCTCATACCACCTCGAGACCCCCGGAAGGTTTACAACTGAAGCCCGCCAAGTCCTGCCCCCAACACTATTTTTAAAGAAAAAGCACTTGACCTTCATTATCCAACTCCATTTGTCGCAGTTAATTTACTACATCGGGATTTATGCAACAGCAGCTGCCGTTCACATCCACCAAGCTGTCCCAGCGGGCGGCTGACAAAGACGGAGCAGAACTGCCGGGTGATGTAGCGCAAGGCTTCACGCTGCGCTTCTGTCCCGGGATGCTTCCTCGGGGTGCTTGGGATGTGCCCGCTGCAGGCGGGGGCTGCAGGAAGCAGCGGGACCTCGGCCAAGCGCGGGCACCGCAGGCTGCTGGGAAGGGGCACTGCTCCGGCTGGCACCACTGCCAGCATCCGCACGAATCCTGCATTTCCACGCTGACCCCTCAGCCCTCACTGGGCACTTTCACCACGTTAAGCCCACTCAAAATATAAACCTGTCGGACGCGTCTCAAGTCTGTCCTACGGATTCGCGGTGCCCAGGCACAGGCAGGATGAAGCAGCACTAATGCAGATCGATCGCAGGGTTCTTTCGAGTCCTTACGGTCTGACAGCACCCCGACTCCTGCATCCTCCAGGCTCCAGCGCACCCCGCGGGATGCCATCGGCAGCTGGGCAGGGATCTCCTTCCCTGCAAAACACTGACTCCAAAGGAGGATGCAATGGGGGAACACGCAGCAAGGTGCGGGCACAGACGTACTCTGGCACTGAAATGACACCTCCGGAGGATGCATTTTCCGATCTGGAGACAACTCATCATCCAACTTCCTACATCATACACACCTTTTTGACCACCAGAACATCATGAAGTGCAACAAAAGCAGGTAGGTAGTTCTTTAGAGCGCCGACAACCTCTGGTTGTGTGCCGACTGGTGTATTAGAACTGTCTTATTTCCTTGGATAGTCATGGAAGTTATCTATATGGAAGATAAATGTGATGAAAAAAAGGAAGGAGAAAGAGGAACTAACTCTCCAGTCCTGTGCTACAATTCAGTAGTTCACGCTGACAACCGTAAGGGCAACTATTTAATTTTAGGTACGGCTCATTTCGTGTAAGTCTCCAGATGTACCACGTTCACTCTTAAGGTTCTGGGAAGGCTTCAGCTATACTGAAAAATGGCAAAGACCTATTAATTCCATGAAGTCTGGATCAATAACTCGGCAAGATCTTCCCTGGCTTGTTGAGCAGTAAACAGACATTTCTCCTCGAAGGCTCTTTAGCTGAGGCCTTTCAGAGACTGGCATGGAAATCGCAGCCGCTCCAGTTTGCCGCCGTGCAGATCCTCGGTGCCGCCAGCGCAAAGCCCTGGTGCTCTCCGATGCTGACAGCAGCTCCTCGGTAAAGCCTGGCTTAGCTGGGCCAACTCCTCGGGGAAGCTGAGGCATGCTAAGGCTCTACAGAGCCTTTCTCCTCCCCGAAATCCCATGCCCCCAGTCACTAAGAAAAGCGCATCGCTTCTGTCCTTGGCTTTTCACAGGCACCACTGGCATTTTCCCTGAGGGAATATTCGGCATGTCCATCTGCATGGGGCAGAGCCTCACACCCCACTGCTCCCTCGGACCACTCCGGCTTTCCCCACAAAGTTAGGGGCTCGCTTCAGACAAGACACTGTCACCCACCTGACCTTCACTGTCACTTGGCCGTACCAATTAGCCCGTAGCTCAATTAGCACAGACCCCACTCCCGGTTCACCAGGCCAGCCCCCAACCTGGGCTGAGAGCACAGTGCTACGCATGCGGGGAGGATGGATTGCTTACTGAAAACTAAATCCCTGGCTCGTAGGTGCTACCTTAGGGTTCCAGGCTCACACCCTGTGTCTGTCGGGAACAACTCGGTGCAAAGCGGCTTCAGGGAGCGCCGATACCACGTCCCAGCTCACGCAACCATCCCCTTCTTAAAACCCAGCACCAGGCAGGGTACAGGGGCTGCCACCACACCTAACGGCTAAGAAAGGGTTTCTTTCGGAGATTAGCTCCAAATCCAATTATACTAATATCTTAATTTATCTCAGTTAATTATATTAATTCATAATCAGCAGCATGACAGGAAAAAAAACAGACGAACAAATCCTGTTACATGGCACCTCAGAAGGAGGGTAGAGCTGCTGTACCAACAGCCCGTGCTGGCATCAGGTCATCCTGGGACATCCAGGACCTTTGTCCCTCTAATTGGAATCTAGAGTTGGAAAGGCATTAACTGACGTATCTCCCAGCTACACCCGACTCATTTTGGCAAACACAAATCGTGAATGACGTAATCCTAACAGAAAGGCTGACATTGTCTCAAACAAGGCAAACTAAAGGGGGATGTTTGTTGCGCTGCTTTTGTCCAGGAAGAAGAAACGACTTGTCCGAACCAGCGGGATTTCAGACTCCTTCCTGCCCGTGGGTAGCAGGGACACGGGATCAAGCACTCTCCGAGTGGAGCACAAGGCACCAAGCGAGCCTTACACACAACTCTGCATTCTTCTACATTCTCTGTTGTGTTTCCAACCTGACATATGTGCCAAAGAATCGTTTTCATCTCTCTCATCTCCTCATCCACCAGAAATGACTGTTCTCTTTCCCAGCTAATCCACTGCCCGCTGCTACCGCACACAAAGTCAGAGATGCATGCATAGGGATGTCACTGTACTTCCCAACTGGAAGATGGTATTCCAGAGGGGCGAGATGGATGGCTCATTCAGCATGCTACGGCTAAAAAACATCCTGTCCATCCCACCAGAAAACCGCAGGCGGATGAGCCCTTCCAGCTCCCGGTGTATCTGAATCCTTTTGCCTTAACGTGCTCTTCTGCAAACCCCTACAGAATGAGCCCCTTGGCTCCTCCATCCCAGGTCCCGTCACCCCTCGGACACTGCGTAGCTGCTCCCAGCTCTGCATCCCTCGTGCTGGAGGAGCTGCCGAGCCGCGGCGACCCAGGGAGGGACCAGACCCCTGGTCAAAGCACCAGCCTGGTGTGGTGACAGGATCCAGCACTGCGCCAGCACAGCAGGAACTGCTGGAAGAGGCTTCACAAAATTCCCATTCCCATGCAGTCCTTGCTAATTATTTCACGTAGCCAAACCACCGCTGGAAGGCTTCAAAGCCTCAGAGTGATGTTTTTTGGTTAAATGTAACTGAACAACTCACCTGCTGGAAGCTCGTGCCCTGGAGCCAGCCGTGCCCTGGGAGCCTCGGTAAGGACCGGCCAAGGGCACAGCACCCAAGTGCAAAGTGGGGAGAGGGAGGAGAGATGGGCCGTATCCTGCTCCACGCTCCCTGGGAAAGAACTGGCAGGGAAAGCCCCTTGCCGAGGGCAGGGCAGGCAGCAAGGAAAATCTCTGAATTCCCAAGAAAAATCAATTCACCTCAAACTTCTGCCTCAGTTCCTCGTTTCCTTCTTCTCCCTCAGGAGGCACCGGGACATTGAAATACTCCCCTTCCTCCTGGCTCAGCAGCTTAAACCTGGAGAGACACAGTGAGAACGTCAGGTCAGGAGGGCAGGCAGGACCTCCCGCTCCGAGCACAGCGCTGCCTCTGCTGCATCAGCATCCACGTGACCCTTCCCCAAGGTCAGAAGACCCCCCGAACTGTTCCACTCAGCAAACTCCCGAGCGGAGGACTGTTCCGGGGGTCCCTTGCTGTATCCCAGCCACCACCCCCCCAAGAACGCACACCCACTACTCGCTGCGGCGGACACCACGAAGCACCGATGCCTCTTCCAAAACACAAGCCTGACCCAAAAACCCACAGACCTGGCAGGTTTTTCTCATGATGGCCACCCACGTGGGAAAGCTCCATCCCCACCCGCTGCCGCGGGGGCCAAGGGGTCCACGGGGAGAGCACGCAGAGCCTGCCGGTGCCGACAACCCCGAGCACAGAGCCGAGATGCTCACCAAAAGAAAGGAAAAAAAGTTTAAGTGGCAAATATCAGAAACTGTGGAAACCCCATTCAGATCCCAGGTGTTTCACACAGCTGCCGGCGACGCTCTCCCGGCAGTGGGATGGTTATGGGCTGGGGGGGATCTACGGAGGCTGCACTGCAGGAACAAGTGCCGGTCGCATCACACAGGGATGGGCTTGTCCTTTGAGCTTGTTTTCTCCACTAACTGAGATGTTTAGATATAAAATATACATCAGAGCTCCTTGAGTTTATTCCAGCCAAGCGCTCCGACAAGGAAAATTACTCAGATCCCCACTTAGACGGATTTTAAAAGGCTGGGAGAACGATGAGGCTTTGGGCTGCCGCAGAAGCCAGCAGCACGCCATCCCCAGCAACACACACCCCCTCGCAGGCGATGGGAAATCTGGGGGGAAGCGACAAGTGTCTTCTGTTTTCCAGAGGAGAAGCCATGCCTCGGTCGGGATCTGGTTTGGGGCATGTGAGGCTGGCACGCTGAGCCCTCCACAGCCCCACACCGGGTGGGTATTCCTGGGGGGGTCGGCACATGCTGCCCATCATTCTGCAGGCTCCCACCAGGCAGGACAAGGGGGATGGGGGCAGGGAGCCCCCCCAGCTCTGCCCCCCAGCCCCGGGCTGTGGCAGTGGGTGCCCCGTGGGTGCACGACCCGGCGCTGTGGGTCCTAATTCCTCCTCCTCTCTGTTCGTTCCTTTAAGCGAGACACGTACAGCTTCCACGGTGGAAAAGACAGAATCCAGGGTGTTTGCTCAACTCCCACAACGCAAATTAAGAGAGCGCAGGCTTTGGTTTCCAAAAGAGAGAGAATATCTATTTTCAGTTATTACACTTCATGTGGAAAGGTAACACAGCCCTCAGGCACCAGTGGCTGGGAAAAAAAAATGGGAAATAAGGTGGCATGTGTCCTGTCAGGGGAGATAAAATGGAAATGAAGAGACCCATTCGTCATGGGTGTTAGAGACCCGCTGCGTTCATCGTTCGTATGGTAACGAGCGACGGTAATTACACGCTCTGGTATCGTCCCTCCTTCCATGGAACCATGCCCCTCAGCACCATTTCTGCTAGGCTACGGTGTGCTGCACGCGGCTGCCCCACCACAAATGGCCACTCAAAGCATCTCCCCCCACCCTTCGCCCACCCACAGCCACACTCTCCTGCACGCCCGACGAAGCCACATGTCCCCCCCCCAGCACAGAAACCAAGGAATCCAACCAGAAAATGCAGGGAAATGCTTGCTCTCCCAGCAGGTGACACACTCCCCTCCTGGAGCCCACGGGGAGCAGTGGCCCACCTGGCAACGAGCTCCAGGCAGAGCATCCCCGTCTCTGTGTGTGCCCGTGGGAGGGAAGAGCCCCCCAAGCCCCCCTGCAAGAGGACACACGGGCAGCCTGCGCAGGGCCCTTGGACCACGTCCTGGTGTCTCTGGCCATCCTGTGTGACAGCCCAGGGCCCACCAGTGACTCTCACCAAGCTGACACGGGAGCCAGGATGACCGGTGGTCCTCGAACAGAAGGATGCTGGCTGGGTAGGATGGGCTGCACAGTTCCACCACATACAAACCGACCAGGAATCCTTCTTGCTCATAGTATTTTTGAAACAATTACAACTCTTACCATCCATCCACTCCCGATTTCTGCAGCTCGGAAATCCCGAAGGACAAGGAGCCCATGAAATCATTCCTACTGGTCAAAATCCACGGACAACCGCCTGTCTTTGTCCGCCTCCTTCAGTTGGCTGGAAGAGAGGAGAGAAAAGAGGGGTGGGTGTACTTCGGAAGCCATGGCTACACCACCATGCCCTCCATGCTCCATGGATGCGAGGTGAAGGGACGGTCTGCAATGACTGCTCAGCTCTGGAACATTTAATTTCCCGGCCACACGGGTTTCCAACGGAGAAGGCAGCGTTCCTGCCCTGAAACACTCAGCTTTGATCAGGGGTCAGGGCAGAGGGTTGAGCGTTTCTGAGTCACACTCCTAGGACCAAAAAGAATTATTCCTCAGCTGAATCATCTTAATGTCTCTGAATAATTAAAGCAGAGCAAACACAATCACGTGAATTCTTAGGGGTGAGAAAAATCAGTTTACAAGTTTAAACATTCTTCTAGTACTTACAATTTAAATGTCTCGTTCCACTCAGGATTCAGGGAGCACTTGATAGTTTTGGTCTTCTGTTTGCTTTCATTTTTGGGGTCGGGGATTAGTTTAAGCTTCACGTAGGGATCTGACAGGCCATTAGGATCCATAGGAACTAGGTTTTTAGCATCTCTTACTGAGGAGAAGAAAAAGGATTAAATTCAGTATTCCAGCTACACAAATATCCAACGATAGGCAACTTGGTGTGCCAACAGCATGAAAATAGTGATTTAAAATGATACATGCAGACATGGACATTGCATGAGAAATGACATTCAGTTATCCATGCAGAGCAAATACGGCTCTAAGGGACACGGGAGGCTGGAGGATCAACTCGAGAGGTTATTTTCACTCTCTGGTAGGATGATGTGTTTGCTCTCGCTTCTGAACAGTTTAAAGCTGCTTCGTTTCCTCTGGCACCTTGGTAAACAGAATTGCACTGATTTGCAGCCTTCTTTTGGGTGAGGTGGGAGCACAGGGATGGAACTTCCCATGGAATGGGAAGAGCCATGAAGAGGGGACAGCAGGCACCAGACAGCACCAGCACAGCGGCCCAGCGATGAGCTCTCTTTCTGAGGCCCCTTGGGCTCAGCTGCCGCAGCCCCGAGGGACCAGGGGGGATGCCCGCAGGGAGCATCACTTGGCTCCAGACACTGGAGCCTCTCCTCGGGAAGCAGAAACAGAGCAAGGAGAAGATGGGAGGGCAAACCTATGGGCGACCGACTGCCTGTAATTGGATTGCAGCTTTGACAAATTAAATACAATCAGGCTGATCTAAGCCTCTTGCCCTAGATTAAGTCAAAAAGGGTCTGTCTGCTGGGAGAAGGGTCTTATCTTCCCTTCAGCCCGAGCAAAGACATCAGAGATGGAAAGTCTGATGGGACATGATGGAGAGCAGCCATAACCCAGGGGAAAGCTGATTGCAAGAAAGTCCAGAGCAGAACCTCTGCCGGGTGCTTTCGTGGGGTCTCCTGCCCAAACAGCCCAGGCCTGAGCCTGCAGCACTGCCCGAGCAGTGGGGGGCATTCCCTCCCACCCCTCCTCGGCAGCCCCTTGGCGCGGCACACCAACACCTCCCCAGGTCCAGTGCACACCTTGGGGCTCAGGTTGTGCTGTGTTCGGAGCAGGGAACGCGGCACTGCCTGAAATCCCGCCGGGAGCTCTGCTGCGAGGTTCACTGCGGGCACAGCTTCACCCCACACACCCCATAATGCAGAGGAGCCCAGCCGTGTGTGCGGTGCTGCGGGACCTTAGAAGACACTGTCAGAGAGTCAGCAAGACTAAAAACAAGTGCTCAGCTGCCAGATCACCAGTAAGCTGTTCCTGATGCAAGTTTGGGAGCCAGAGAGCTTCGAAAAGCAAATTAATGCTCCAAAATCTGCAATCTACTGCTGTCCTCCTGAAGTATTGCCCAATTTCCAGCCCCGTGGAGTAAAACTTGTAGCCAAAATTCCAATCTGCATTTATAAACTAGCTCGTTTATCACACACGACACTCTTGACAGCAGCTCGGCAGACAGGCCTGCCGGGAATTGCCTCCTGCCCACTTCCAGGTGCCCAGGCAGCCCGATCGATTCGGCAGCACTGGATACTCTTCCGACTCCTGAGATGATGCAGCCGCGGGAGCCAGAGCCACCTCCTGCCCCTCTGGCAGAAGGGGAAGGGATGACTTCATTACTGACAGCCCCAGAAGAAGCGGCACACAGTTACCTTGCCACGGATGCCATCATGCCCAGGACGGGTCGGATCTCTTTGCCGGGAGGTGGAGACCCGCCAGCGGTCGGGGAGAGGGGACAGGGATGCAGATGCAGCAGCTGCTCAGCACCATTCACCGAGAGCTCGCTCTGCGCGTGCACACAAGGTGCTGGAGGAGGGGGAGGACAGCGGCAAGGCTCTGGTCCCCAGGGCTGTCCCTTCCCGCAGGCTGTGCAGGCACCAGCTGTCTTGTTTTCCCAGCAGGGACAAAGGGACCCTGCGCACCGCTCCGAAACCTGCCATCGTCTCCAGGGAGGGTGCCGAGGGGGGTTGGGGACACCAGAGCATCCTAAAAGCACTTGTGAGAAGATGCTCAAGGAGAAGGATTCACCCTTCCTCTACCAGAGCGGACCGAGGCTTGCAATTGCTTTAGACAGACAACGGGCATCTCTGGAGAATGGTGAAATATCAGACCCGAGCGGATGTCAAGCTTCCCTGGATATTGCTGATCTGTTAATCGCACAGGCTGCTCCCCCAGGAAGGGCCAGCCTTGCAGAAGCATCGGGCCATCCCTCCGCACCGGTGGAAATCCGCAGGGCGGGAGAAGCACCAGCGCCCGACGTGCCTGAACCCGCCCTGCGACAACCGCATCCACGTAGCGAAGCCACGCGGCCCCGCGTCACGCGAGAGCGGCCCCCCAGCCTCCAACTGCCGGCTGCGGCCCCGCCGCTTCATCGCTGCCATGTCCCGACAGCTATTTCACGTGCCATGTAATAAATGAATCGCCCTGTTTCGGAAGTCTGGACATAAATATCAGCTCTGCACTTTGGAGGATGCACGGTAGTTACGCTGTGGCTTAATGTGGACTCTCAGTCAAGTCTTCTGCGGGAGGCTTTGCAGAAAGGCTCCCAATCTGCTGCGTGCAATCTCTAAGTAATGACTTTAATTTCCACCGGCCCTGCTGAGGCTCTGCCCTGATACAGCCGGAATGCTTTCCTCACCCCTTATCAGAGGAGAAGAACACGTATTTTCTCATCATCCCTATAAGCTTTTATCTGCGCCTTTTTGATAGGAAAAAAGGCAATCTTTACACCCACGATCTCAAATTATAACACACAAGAGTGTGTTAGAGAGAAGTGCTGGGGTCGGTCCTGCCGAGGCTCTGCCTGGCTGGCAGGGAGCTTGGGGGGGTCTGTGGGCAGGAATGGCTTTTGCTGTTTGCAGGGAAGTGCCCTGCGTGGGGAGCACAGCGCTCCTGTACCCCTGCCCCCCGCCCCGGGCGCTTCGCACAGCTCCAGCCTCAACTCCTTGACGGGTCCAATCGCAGCTGTGGGCAACCACCCGCTCCGCAGCGCTTGCCACGGGCTCCTGCCTTCACCCAGGGTGGGACCAGGGCTCCCTGCCCACAGCCCTGTGTGGCCGGGGCATGGTGAATGATGCTCCCAAGTGTCCTGCTAAACCAGGGCCTCCCAACAGCCTCCCCCTGCAACTCTGATGAGCTTTTGCTACCTTTTGGTACTTTCCTGGCTTTAAAATTATTACGAGAAAGTATTTTCAATGACCCTGACCATCTGCAGCACAGGGAGAGCAAGAGATGCTCCCAGGCTGGAGCCCCTCTGCCATGGGGACAGGCTGGGAGAG